TGGTAACCTGTACTTCTTTCCTGTAACAGAATTTCACTGCTTTAGAAAGCAAACCATCTTTCCAGAGACTTCTAAAAGAAATTTTGCATCTCTGATGCACCCTTGGTCTGTGGTTCGATAAATAAGCACGAGGGGTAAAATCAACCTAGGATGACATACTAATTACCAAAATCCTATACATTTGTATGCTAGAAACTAATTCAAATAAATTAATTACATTAATGGTACATAGCCTGTTGGGTCATAACCCAAAGAGAGAAGGGGAAAAAAATGTTTCCTTTTGACGGTCTTCATTTTTTTTTTTTTTTTTTGATGGACAACATGTATAGCCTCTTTCGACAGTCTAAGGGAAAATAAAGCAGGAAATCATAACCTCTGAAACTTCCTCACGTTCATAAAGACCATTTCGATGTGACAAGCACGCAGAAAAAAAAAAAATAATCCCCATTTCCCCTCTAGCTGGTGCAACCCTCACCACACCAGATCCCATTGTCTCAACCCTGGAAACCAGAGCCCACTTTTCTCCTATGAGTTTGCACTTTGCTATTTTTTTTTTCTTTTTTTCCCTTTTTTTTTTTCTTTTTTCTATCTTGTCCTTTTCCAGGTCTTTGGATTTAGCTGTCGTTATGAGAGATCCAGAATAAAGCTATTCAACCGTAGTCCTCAAGCAGATGTGTCATTTTCACACAGATGATTAAACAATATCCAAGGTTTCTTGAAAGTTGAGTTTATCTTGGATGTGCCCAAATGAAAGTAATTTCAAGTGTACACCATGAAGATGCTGGGATACTTTTCTTTCCTGCACTTTAGTCTTCAACGATAAAGTAAAGAAAGCAACGTACATTGTAGAAGTCTCGCATACATATACAGTGTTGAGGGATCACTTGAATTTATTAGTTGCAACAGGGGACAGTATCTATGTATGGCGATGTCTGTTCACAGTCTTGACACCCACAGGAAATGTGGGTTGCTTGTAAGGACGGCTGTGAGAATACCTGTCGAGAGATGTCTCTAAATCCATGTTCATCCACGCTGACAGACTAGAGAAGCTTCCGACAAACTTATCTCCCGAGGTTTACACTCTGTGAAACGTCTGCTGCTGGAGATGGAGCAGAGTGGAAGGCTTCCATGGAACGAACAGACCTGTAGCGATGTATTTTTTTCCTATACACATTTTGTCCGCTAAAAAGGTCTCAGCTGGTTGATCCCAGTCAACCAAACTCAAAAACCTATAAGGACAGCTTGGGCTCTAGCTTTAACATGTCTCAGACTGTCAGAGTCCTTTTGGTATCTGAGAACAATGAGCATTTCTGGTCCCTGTGGGATTCATGCAAACTAGCCCATCGGCCTCAATGATAGGCTTTGTGTTAACCTATCAATGTAAGGCCTTATATTATTTTAATAATTATTTTGGTATTTAATAACAAATTCTGAAATTTCTAAAACAAACCCCCCTCCCCGCCCCCTTGGGAAGAAATAAATCCTGGGCAGAAAATGGGCATCGGGACAGCCATATCTAAAGCCAACGTCATTAATTTATGAGACTTATATAATGAACCATCCCTTCTTCCTTTAGTAAGGATTTTGGGGCCTTATTTGAAAACTAGAATCTCCTGTTGTTTTAGAGGTGACTTGGTCTTAGCTAAATGTACAAAAGTATTAAGCTATCCAGTCTTGCATGTGAATATTCAAAAGTTATGGACGCACCAGCCCTATCCCTTCCTTCTCCATCATTTCCTACTCACTCCTCCTGGTTAGGCTAACGAGTCCAAATCACCCAGCAGCAGCAGCAGCAACAAAAACAACAAAAAATCTCTGATCGGTTAAGAACCATGTTAGTTATTTCCATAGGATTTGTCTTTGGGCTTTGGGGTCAAACCTTAACCACACATATTACCTCTTTTTCTCAACTTCTTAATATAGTCCATTCTTCTTCAACAACACTGGGACTCAGGCTGTTCTTTTTATATTTTTTAAAAATTCCTGCTATACAACCTGTGGAAAATCTGAGTTCACCATAAAGTTATATTGTCAGGACCTTGCGGTAATGGTAATTGGACACTTTAGAAATTCTACCAGCATTTTAAAAGTGGGAACATGTCCCCACCTGTACCAAGTGGTCATGATTTTTTGTTTAATTTGTTCAACTTTAATTTACTGACATTAATAGGCTAGTGCCCAGCACAGGTAAGAAGAAATGACGGATCATCTAAAAAGTACGTATATTTAGCTTTCAAATACACTGAATTATAAAAATGCATATATATATATGTGTGTGTGTGTGTGTGTGTGTGTGTGTGAGAGAGAGATTTACCTTCTTAATTTTGATTTCACTTTAGTTAGAGATGAAAATTAGCTTAAATTTCTTATGCCCACAGTTGCCAGGAGCCTGTAGGCAAAGCTGTGGAGGAGACGCTCTGATCTCTCCAGAGAAAGCGTCCTGCTGAGTCCTTCATTTCTTTCTCTCTCCTGTACCTTTAAGGGGTACAACCTATCATTTTACATTTTGTAAAAGCCTTTACATATCAGAGTGGAGTTTTTATTGTTGTCACTGTTTTCCTTTAAAAATGAAATAGACTGGCTCTTTTAAAAATGTTCCCGGAATGAAAGGATTATGTCCCCAGTACCAAAATCACGTTGAAAACAAAAGTAAAGCGAGCCTATTTCCCTCCAGGAATAGAGAAACATTATTTTCCCACTCAATAGCCTTTAGCTTTCTGCCACCTCGAGAGTGTGAATTTTGGTTCAGAAGTGTCCCGAACTTCATGGTGTCCCCTTCGTTCCTAATGGCTGAGGGTGCACCTGGAATTTTTCTTGGATTGAAGAAACAGATCCTCACCTATAACTAAGTCCAAATGGTTATTTTCTCTGAAATTATTAACTTAAGTAAATTTTAGAAATGCTTGAAGAAACCCACTGGGTCAAATTTCATCACCTTTTAATTGGTAGGGTTTTTTTCTTTTTCAGATTTTTCATAAATTGGAATTCTGTAGGGCTGACCATTTTGATATGTACATATATGAATACACATGTGTACACGCATGTATTCATACATGTCTGTGAATAATTGTCTAAAAGCAAGCACCTCTCTCTGGCATGACATTATCCAGTAAGAGACATTTACATCTGGAGGGAAGTTCTTGTCTTTTGTACATTAGGACGTCCTCCTCGGGTCACCGGGACCACTAAGGGGGCGGATGTGGCTACAAGAGCTTTTATTGGTATTGAAATCTCAGGCCACAAAGGCAGGCTCTTTGGGTTTTGACATCTTCAGGGGTGCCCGAACCCAAGTGGTGAGGTTAGTGTGCCGAAGGATTACTAACCAAACCCGGCAGGTCTGTTCCCTCAATCCAATCTCCAGAATATTGGCCGCAAGTCACAAGGATTTTATGTAGAAATCACCGACTGGGAGCATTCCCCGGCAGAAGTACACTCTTTTCTCCGTCGTTTGACAAAGGAAACATGGGATACGAGAAGAGACAAAAGGATACAGGGCAAAGTCCTGGGACATCCCAAAGTAGGATGGAATACAAGAGCCACAGAGAGTCGCATTCCTTCCCAGCTCTGCGGCTGCTGTCCCTGCAAAGGGAGACCCCCATCTCCCTCGCTGGTGGGGAGCGAGAAGGTGGCACCACGGATGATTGGGTTCTGGGGAGCAGGACGCTGGGCTTCTCCCCAAATCCTGCTTTGCATTTTCCCTCCAGGATGGAGACAAGCCCCCGGTCGGTACCGCTGCCTCACTCCAGTGCCAGCCGTGGTTGCACACAGGCTGGTCAAAACACCAGGGAACGGCCGCCCTGAGGAAACCCGATCAGCCATTCCAACAGGAGCTGGACTTCCCCTACGAGAAGTCCCTTTGGTGGACCTGCTCCCTGAGGAGATCAGCAAACCCTGATGGGACAGGGTGGCTCCTGGAGAGATTTCTGGGCTGGCCTCATCTCCACAGCTAGTGGGACTGGACCCCCCGAGGCTTCCCAGCAGTTACAGAAGACAAGCTCCCCCCTGGCCCACGGGTGGGCCAGGTCTCATGGACAGACCTCACTCGACACCTTGATGGTGGTTGAGGCATTCGTCTAGAGCTGACTCCAAATACAAATAAAGCTCATTTGTGCCACGAGTCCATTTATCAACAGGTTAAACGCTGAAATGCTTGACTTTCAACTTTCCTGGGAATTTTCACAGAAATAGGAGTACCCCAAATCACCCACAGTGGAAAACGGACTCTGGGATGGCATGAGAAACGAGCAAAACTCGGAACTAAGGCCTAATAAATGAAGCAGTTGATCAAACCAGACATGGACTTGGACAGCAAGAATCTGGGGTCATCACCAATGTCAAGTTGAATCTATATATGTATTCATATATTATATATATATCTCTTTCTTTAGAAATGCAACTTTACAGCTGAATTTTAAAAAGCTAATAGAAAAGTAGAAACTGGCAATTATTTTTACGTTCCCCCCCCCCCACCTGCAAATGAAGCCATTAGGATGTAGCAATCACAGGAAAATGAGGCTGTTGATTCCTCTATAAATTCTTTGGTTCTGTGGTTCAGGAGAGCATGTGTCACCAAGACCCCTAACCCTGACCCTCACTCCCCTTCCCTCCCCTGATGCTGAGACTCTGAACATAGAAGGAACCAAGTCTAAGGGATAAGCAAAGAACATTCAAGTGACATCATTCCCCTTGCTCCGAGGAGTAGAGGAAACAGATCAGTATCCCAACATCTGAAACTTGGAGTCCATGGAACCTTCTGGGAGACTCCAGGTTGGGGCAGAAAGCCAGAAAACAAAATTAAAGGGAAACAATAAAATCAAATCAATGGCCCTTGCCTTTTGTTGCTCAGAAACAAAATTGATTACCTTTACACAGATCAATGACGCTATTAGTATTTTAGCCAGACAAGAGGAGATACTGAACTGAAACAAAAGATGTGAGAAATCCTCGTCTTTGGTATTGTAGCTGTTGAGGTTTCTGTTGTTCTGTTCCATGTTCTTTTGAAAAACTGCATAGGCACAAATTAAAGACAATCTTCAACTTTACGATTACCGATGAGTTGTCAAATGAAGCAGGAGCCACCGAGGCTGTTCCTTATATCTATTCCTGCCTCAACCCTTTCTTTAAAATCTGCTTCCAAAAAATGTCCCAAGAGGTCTGTTTACACACAGTGTGTCTCGCTGTTTTTTTGTTTTTTTGTTTTTTGTTTTTTTTCTGGCGTGCTTCCTTCTTGGTGATGGTGATGTTCACTGATTTACGTATTTATTTATCTATTCATTTTAATGGAACAGTTTTGTTTGTTGCAGAAGTAGGTGCAGAAAAAGTTTCTTTGGTTTCGATTAAGTAATTCATAAAAAAGTCAGTCTCAAGTGTCTGTAAAGAATCATTGCAGCGTTTGGCTTGCTTCGAACACCCCATGGGGCCCACCTGGGGCCATTCACTGGTAAATACGCACATCGTGACCTTCGCATCTCCCAGAGTTCTGCGGGCGCTCTTCCACGTGCTGTGGGAAGGTGGCAGCCAGGAACCAGAGCTGGCGTGGCTAAGCCACTCCCTGGGTGGCTGGGCTAGCCGGTCTGCTCAGCCCGATGGTGAGCCAAATGCAAGAGCTGGATGCCATTTGGAGTTGCAGAGGTTTTCTGATTTCTAAAAGTAATCACAGTATTTTTAGGCTAGAAAATGGCAAGTAAGAAATGTCTTTGGTTTGCAGTATTCTGCTTCTTTGGTGTGCTGTGTTTTCTCCAGATTTACTCTGCGGTTTTGCAAGGGTGATTGGACCATGGAAGAGATTTGGGACTAGATGACCCTCATGAGTAACATGTATGGTGGTTTGAATTACTTTTTTTTTTTTTTAATTTCCTAGCTAGAAAACACTGAAAAACGGCCCTACCAATGGGATGGATGAGGAAACAACCGAAATGCGAAAGAGCGAGAATGATTTGTGTTAATGCACAGTGAGAGGAACCAGGTGACTCTACTAACCAAGAAGGACACATCGATGACCTAAAACAATCTAGATCTTTGAAAATGCTGCATTTGCTCCATGTACCGTAACAGTTAAATTGGCCTCCTGAGTGTGCGTCTGCATTGTGTACAAACAGAATTTGTAGCAAACTGCAAAATGTGCTTGAAGCCATATTCCTAACGATTCCCTAATGACTTCACAATCAGCGTCTTGAAAACCCAGATGCGGTGAATCCAGAACCTTCCTTACTTCTCTGTTTATCTATGTTGTGCTTGATATGTTGAGCTCAAGAGAACTGATTTTTTTTTTTTTTTTGATGGATCCAAGACCACATGAGATTTCCAGGAGGTAAGGAAAAGAAAATCGTAAACTGGATCAACTTAAAGCTTTCCAAACCATTCAATGGAATGATGCCTGAGTTGGAAAAACAGGTCCTCGGATTTTTTTTTTTTTAATTTCCGTATTTAAAAGTTGTGCTCAGGAATTATCATTCTGATGTTTTTTATGTTATGGCTGTGAACTTTGGTATACTGTGGCATGATGAGGCTAAGCACTGGGAAAGCAAATGAGGTCATTCTTGTTGCTAGAAGAATCTCTCATGGTAGCATCTTGGGAGCCCAAACTCAGAATCCTTACATGGGCCAAATTCCCACGTGACACGTGGGAACTCGGACTGCAACAGGGCCCCAAGTGGGACTGTTGACACCTGAAGAGATCCTGGGCTTGGCTAACACCATGCTGAAATCAACCAGCTCCAGGAAGGCCCCCCCTTTGGATCTCTGGGATGCTTAGCATGCTCAGAGGACAATGTCCGGTTCAAAGAGATTCATTTTCAGCTTGCACTTGGACTCCGTAGCCATGAAAAACAAAACAAGAAAAGAACACCTGGCCTATGATTACAGCTAGAATAGAAGTTTCTTTTCAAGAGAATTGTGCTTTCAAATCACCAGTGAAGGGCCCCAGCTAAGAATCCGGTGTCTTTTTCCTTTGTGTTTTCTTTTGTGTCGGTTGTCCTCACCTGGAGGGGACCTTTGCCCACCCGAGAGTCCTTCCATCACGCTTTGGTACAAGTGCTGGAGGTGGACGAGGAGCCCCCTGTGCTCAGATCGTCCTGCCACTTCTCCAGGCTGCGGCGGCGGGCGTTCATGAAGAAGTTGCTGACCGTCGTAAGCTCCAGGCCCAGCTGCTGGGAAATGGTGATCTGCATCTCTTTGGACGGGCGTTTGTTCTCCTTGAAGATGGCAAAGAGTGTTCGGCGTTGGAGGTCGGTGAACACCAGGCGGGATTTCTTCTGGGAATTGTTCCTGTCTTTGTTTGGTTCTTGCTCTTTGCGTTTGCACGCTTGAAGGGAAAAGAGAAGAAGGAGGGAGTCAGTACGAGTGTGAGAACCAGCCCCTGAGAAGGTGAGCCATTGAAAACATTGACAGAGTCGTACAAGGGGATGTAAACCGTTAAACTTTATCGTGCGCGTTGCCCAGCTGTCAATAACCAGCCTTCCCCGTTCGCCTCCGGGTGATGGAAGGCACCAGGGAACGGAGGAGGGAGGAAGGGGAGAACGACGGGGCGGCTCTCGGCGGTCTGCTTTTAAACCAGTGGCAGCCCCCTGCCTCCCAGAACACCCTTAAAAAATTCTTCATCTCTGAAATCAGGCACTGCGAAAAGAGTGAGGACTCCAGGTCCCCAGCGGGAGCCTGGGCAGGCAGTTCCTCTTTCATATTCAGCTTCTAGAAGTGTGCACGACTGAGCTGAAAGGACTTTTTGGAGTCAAAACTTCAAAGTCCCTTATTTTTTCAAAATCAAAGCTTCTACGCATGTGATTCCAAAAATTGTTAACAGAACGAAGGTAGAAATGACAGAACGATGGTATCATCCCAACCCAAATCCCCTTCTTCCAGACTTTTGAAAAACTATGGAAAAACGAAACAAAAACAAAACAAGGAGGGAAAGACCCAAAGAAATTGGTTGAGCCCACTTCACTCCGGGTAGTTTGAGGTGAAGCCGGTACAAGAGGACAGGGCTGGGGGCGGCAGAAGCAGCCCGACTAAAGGGGACATTAATTAACCGATGTGTCGCTATCTCTGCCTTAGCCTACAAGTGCCTGGAAGGCAGGGAGCAGGTCTGCGGAATGTTCACAACTGGCCCGTTTGGGAGCCATCGACCTCATGGAATGCCTGGGATGCCGAGGTCACGTGATGCCTGGACTCTTTCAGGGGGTCTGTGTACTTCACCGACCGATCTGGGTCTCAGAAAACAGCCTCAGACAGGCGAAATAACATGGGGCTTGCCCGTCAAGAATGTGAACATGACTTTTTTTAGAAAAGATTTTATTTATTTATTTTATTTATTTGACAAGATTGAGAGAGAGATCACAAGTAGACAGGCAGGCAGAGAGAGAGGGGGAAGCAGGCTCCCTGCTGAGCAGAGAGCCCAATGCGGGGCTCGATCCCAGGACCCTGGGATCATGACCTGAGCTGAAAGCAGAGGCCTAACCCACTGAGCCACGCAGGCGCCCCAAAAATGTGAACATGAGAACACCTGCTCAAGTCGCTGGAAAGAAAGCCCAGCTCACCCAGGGGCGTCGGGCAGCATCGACAGAGCTAACCCGGGAAAGGCAAGGAGGGAACAGAGACGCTCCTTCTTGCATCAAACCCTACTGGACATTCCTTTGTGCTGCACTGATACCCCCCACCCCAGAGTGAGCACTCTGGGTGCTGCCTGGATGTCTTCCCACACCTTGTAGCCCTGGTTTGCCAGTTTGACATCTGAGCCCCGGGTCAGGGCGTGACCTTTGGCAGGGAGTAGCTTGTGTGGGTGGGCGGTGGGGGGAGCTGCTGTTGGAGTAGGTGGGGGGCGTGGGGGTGGGATAGCCTTCCCATGGATGGGTTTACAATTTAACTTGAGGACCAGCATGTAGAGAGAAGATCTTGTGGACGCCAAACATCCCCTCGCCCAACTGGCCCTCCTTCCCAGGGGCGCTCCCTGCCGTAAAGGAGTCACTCCCAATACAGGAAAAGTGAGGACACATTGCTTTGCTAAATGCTTTCTCTCTGATTTTTTCCTTCTTCTTCTTCCTCTTCTTCTTCTTCCTCTTCTTCTTCTTCTTCTTCTTCTTTTTTTTTTAAGATTTTATTTATTTATTTGACAGAGAGAGATCACAAGTAGGCAGAGAGAGTGGGGAAGCAGGCTCCCCGCTGAGCAGAGATGCGGGGCTCGATCCCAGGACCCTAAGACCATGACCCGAGCCGAAGGCAGAGGCTTAACCCACTGAGCCATCTAGGCGCCCCCCCCCTTTTTTTTAAGATTTTATTTATTGATTTGAGAGAGCACAAGCAGGGAGAGAAGCAGAGGGAGAGGGAGAAGCAGGTTCCCCAATGAGCTGGGAACCCAACATGGGGCTCCATCCCAGGACTTGGAGATCACGACCTGAGCCGAAGGCAGATGCTTAACCGACTGAGCCACCCAGACGCCCCTCTTTCTTTCTTTTTAAAAATAAAAGAAAATATAGTACCTTTGAAAATGAAATATACTCCCTTCCCGCACACAGAAACCAATGAAAGCAATTTGTTTCCACATGAAAACTCTTTCTCTTGGAAGGTCGGACTTCCTCAGAGAAGGCGAGCTTCCCGGGCAACGGAAGCAAAAAGGCCAAGATGCTGCGCACCTGTTGTCTCCTCACAGGTGCATCGCACTAAAGGCGACCTCCTCGCTCATCCCTGCCAGGATCTTCCGTTTGGGCTGGATTCTGTATGTTTATCACACCCTTATCTTCAGACTCACGCTCTCTGGTCCAATCTCCAAGCCTCCTCAACACGGCTTCTCAACCTTAAAGACGCCCAGGGGTCACTGGAGACTCTGGGCAGGCGGCCGGGGGCGGGGCCCCAGAAGCTGCATCTCTAATGAGCTCACAGGTGATGCCAGTCCTGCTGGTCCACGTGCCACAGCTGACTCCCAAGCACACACCTGACTTCTAAATTCCCAGAGGAGCACCCTGATGGCAAGGAAAGCTCTGGAGCCAGGGGAGCCTGGATTCACAGCGGGACTCCTCCTCCAGGGCCTTGGGACCCCAGTAAACTGCTTCACCCCTCAGAGCCTGTGTTCCTCATCCAACAGAAGGAACGACGCTGACCGCAGAGGTCCAAGAGGGCGTGACAAGTGCTCCCTCCTCACCGTCCCTCTTACTGCATTTCCCCAGGAATCCTGAGGAAGCCGGCAGAGTTGTTCTCATTTTAAATTATTTTTTTATTTTTTATTTTATTTTTAAAAGATTTTATTTATTTATTTACCAGAGAGAAAGCACAGGCAGGCAGAGTGGCAGGCAGAGGCAGAGGGAGAAACAGGCTCCCTGCAGAGCAAGGAGCTGGATGTGGGGCTCCATCCCGAGACTCTGGGATCATGACCTGAGCTGAAGGCGGCCGCTTCAGTGACTGAGCCACCCAGGCGTCCCGAATTGTTTTCATTTTAAAATGAAATCAGTAGAGACCTAGATTGGGTAAGTCATTGACCTGAGGTCCCATATCAAGTCTGATGCAGACCCAGGGTAAGAATCCAGTCCTTCCCTCTCTCCAACTTTCTTTCCTTCCTTCCTTCTGTTCTCTTTCTTTCTAAGATTTATTTATTTGAGTGAGAGAGCGAGCGAGCATAAGCAGGGGGCAGGGAGCCCGATGGGGGACTTGATCCCAGGACCCCGGTACCATGACCTGAGCCGAAGGCAGACGCTTAACTGACTGAGCCACCCAGGCGCCCCTCTCTCCGTCTTTCTCATCTACAGAAATAGCACCCACGCCGCTGTCACATTAGAGGGGATCTGTTCGCAGGGCAGCCTCTGGGGCTCCGCCCCCAGACATTCTGGTTTTCACCCATGTGGGGCAGGGTTCTGGAATCTGTGCTTTTACAAACCTCCCTGGGCCCTCCTGAGACATGGGAACCAGCATGCCAGGTCACAGACTTCCCACCCCAGTCTCCTGGGACACCTGGTGCCAAGCCTTCCTCGGGAGGATTCTGCATCAAAGGTGGTGCACGGTAATCTCCTGATAACCAGATCTGAGCAAGTATCCTCTACAAACATAGGCTTGCCTCCTGCCTTGTCCTCTCTTTGGTCTTTCCTGAGAAGGCCCGGTATCCCAGGTGGGTGACCTCAGCGGTGAGTATGTGGGGGGGTGTAGAGAGGAAGAGGGGCAGGAACAAGTTGGTTCTGTCAGGCAGATACAGGCTGCGGTCATCCTGGAACCTGCTGTCATCCCTTGACACCTGGCCCCACGGGTGCATTGTCTTTAGCCCTTCAAGGCACCTGCCCATCCCACACCACAACTGGGTCCTCATCCCTGAGTCGTAGAACTCAAGGGCTGTTGGCTGGCCTGGGGCTGTCACTGTTCACGTGGGGGGCTGGAGGCCCAGCAAGGTGAGCCTGAGCGGAAGCCGAAGGGTGGACCCTTGCGGAACCTCCTTCCCATGATATCTTGGAGCGGAATGTGGGGGTAGAGAAGGAGGTTCTCATCTTGGAGTGGGTGAAGGCTCAGGGACTTGCTTAGGGGACACAACTGGCGCTGGCGTGAGGACACAGGCCCAGAGACCCCTTCCCAGCCTCCCTAGTGCTCCAGGAACCCGTGAAGTAAGAGGAAGCCGACAGGGGTCCGACTCCTCGGCACCCCCTGCTCTGGCCCTGAAGCTCCTCACACTGTGGGGTTTTGTCCTATGAATTCAGGCACCTGTTGGACAACCTCTTCTGTCTGGGCTGGATCACGCCCACTTGTTTTTGGAGAATTCAGCCCTGACCGTGTGCTGCAGAATTAGTGCCGGAAGGTCGCTCGGGCTCCTGCATAACGGCCTCAATTGACGGGAAAGGAAAATATCTCATAGAAGTGAGCTCTACTCCCAAGACTTGAAATGAAAGACTTTGTAGTTTTACTTTTCTTGGGCAACTGACAGAGGGCAAGGCCAAAATGGGCGAGGGCCTGGCAGTTCCTACGGACCCAAGTGCAGAGCCCAGTTGTGTTACCCTGTGCCTTCCTTTCCCAAGAGCTCACCGACCCCGACACGGCTACCCAGGACCTTCCCACCTTGGTGATGGATTTGACTTCATGGGCCTCTCCCTCTGTCTAGTACCGTGACTCTTACTGTCCCAAACCGAAGGTAGATGCTCTTTTTCTCAGTGACACCTGTTCCTCTCTCCTCTGGCAGGAAGAATTATGGAAATATCGGCTGTTACCCGTAAGCTTAATATACACACCTGTGTTAATATACACAACCCGTTCTGCCTGCAAAGTCCCACACCGGGCAGGTGCCTCTTTTGAGGACACCTATCCCACCTACCTAGTGGAGAGTGGAATCAGGAGTTTCTTTTC